AGCTATTATACATGATAAGGATTGCACTGGTAGCAACAATTTAGGCAACCAATTTTATTAAGATAAAACAAAAGGGAAAACATAAGTGAAGCTTGATGTTGTTATGGCTGAGTTTACTGGGCTCTTGGAATAAAAATATACCTGTTCCATTGCAGATCCTTGTTGAGACAAGAGGTTCTAACATCTGAACTCTTCCTTGGAATTAATATTCTAACTCAACTGTGAAACTCTGCCCTAGTCATTTTATTCAGGGATCATTATCTCGGCACTGGTTTGCAAATTAAATGCCTGGTTGTCACAATCCAAAGAAAAGACACTAGTACTGTAGGGATTCCCAAGGCTTTAACTGGGGTGGAGAAGCAACTTAACTTCATACAGAAACAGACTCTGCATTTTTACAGATTCTTTTGTCTAAGAAGTTGGATTATCTTTCTCTAACATCTCAGGGTCAGGATCACACATGGCCCTCGGCAGTCTTGTGTGAGCTCCCCCTCTGCCCAAAGCGAATTCTAACAAATCAAGGGATCTGCATCCTAGTTTGATTCCGAGACAGGTGAAGGATGGGAGGGAGGGAGGGAGGAAGGAAGGAAGGAAGGAATCTCAGTTATTCCTTGCCACTCCCTAAAAAGTACTGCTTTAGTAACCAAAACAAGGGACATTTGCATACTGTTTCATTGCTATCAAACAAAAACATCTTATAATCGAAAAATACTTGATTGTTTTATTTTTCAAAATGTTTTTATTTATTTATTTTTAAATCAATTCAAGTAGCCACCCATCTCAGTAGCTGATGCTCACAACATTAAAACAAATAAAAACATATACAAATACAAATCGAACAAGAAACAAAACAAACAGCAGTTGGAGAATAAAAAAAAAAGCCCTCAGCACAGCCAGGAAACGGGCTGCATCACATGCCCAGGGCCCCAGGCTTCGGCCCATATTGTATGATGTTAGATCACCCGATATTCCAAAGAAAGCGTCGTTATTTGTCTATTTATACAACTGGAGTTCAGGTTAGTGCCCTCCTTAATTGCTTGAAGATTAAGCAAAATGAGCTATTTCAAAGGGGATTCCAGTCATTTTCATTTACTTTATAAATACATACATACATATTATTTACCTTGGATCTATTTTGAAATGACTTTTCTGAATGCGGCG